CCACATGGGCCCCCCCAGCAGTTCTGGTGTCAACAGAGCCACCACAGCAGCTCCTGGAACTGGGGTTCAACCAGAAACAGCCGTGGGAGTTCAGAAGGGGGCCTGGTCTGTGCCACAGTAGGAACTGTCTTGCCTGGATTTGTCCTCCTGGGTGACAGCCAGGGCAGCGGGTCTGGTTTCAGCAGATAAGCACAGAGGCAGCTCTGGGTGCAAGAAGGAGCTGAGCTGTGGGACAAGGACACCAGCTCAGTCCTGGCTTTGGGATGTGGCTGCTAGCAGAGGTATCCCAGAGAAGCTGAATTATCTCCAAGTGCCTGCAAAAAGAGGTCTTGCCTGTCTCTGAGCTGGGGTTGCTGGTGCTGTGGGGAGCTGCAGGATAGCCATAAGAAATGGAAAACCAAAGAAACCAGCGATACCAGAGGAAAACAGGAAGGGTGAAGGGTAACGCCAAAGGGTAGAGCTCCAAGGGCTGGACACAACTCAATATGATCTGATCTGGCCAGGGAAAGGCCAATCCAGCTGCTTTGCAAAATCCCAGCTGTGCTGCATCCCGAGGGATGGATGGAAAACGCCTCTGCCAGTGCTTGCTCAGGAGCCCTGGGGACACCCACCCTGGGAAGATGATGGCAGGACACAGGTGACCTGCATGGGGAACACACACAGCTCATGTGTTAGCCCTGGGGGAACCACCCAGCTTCAGGCATTAAATCTGGACACGTGGAGGAGCACAAACACTCTATGCACCAACTGGGGAGCACAGACCCTTCTTGTTTCCCCCTGCAGACCCGTTGGAGCCTGCAAGCCATGAGCTGGTGAGGGATTACCAGGGAGCGGCGCCCTGGGAGAACAGCGCCCTGGGGAGGGAGTGCTGGGGGGGTTCCAACAAATGTCGGGAAATGACAGCCAGAGGTTGGAATTCACTTTGCACCAGGTACGGCCAGATCAGTTTGCAAAACATTGTCTTTGGCTCATGACTGTGCTGGCAGTGGATGTGAGCCCATCCTGCAGCACTGCAGCCCACTCTTGAGTGCTGTGGGACCCTGCCACAGTGGGACTGGCCTTGTGGCCATCCTGGGGCCACCAGCAAGGAAAGGTTTGGCACAGCTGGAGAATCCACCTGCCCTGCGTGCATTGCTGCTGTCCAACACAGGACCCACCTCGCAGGGACTTGCTCAGAACCTTGCCAGGGAAGCCCCCAGCTTTCCTGCTCCCACCGTGCTTGCAGACCCAATAAACCCAGAGACTTTTGAGAGGGTTTTCTTCTCTCATTTCTTTTAAATAAAATACAGACTCCACCTAAAACCAAAGACAGTTACATAATTAATTCCTCCTGAGCCCCCCGCCCCCTTCCCCCCAGCCTTGCTCCAGGACTCCCAAGAGAAGCTGATTATCAGCTGCTGGCCGATCCCTCCAGGCCATGCTGGTTCAGGGAACAGCCTCTGGCTCAGGCTGTGCGGTGAGCTGGGAGCCAGAGCCCCGGACTGCGTGGACAGCACTTCACATCCCTCCCCTGCCCTGTGAGCAGTGGATGCCTCAACTCCACGGACCGGATCTGCCCTCACCGGAGCACACCATGCCTGCCTGGGGGGCCAGGTGGGAAAACAAGCTGCTTTTCCTTAAAAAGCCACTTCTCCTCCCAAAGGCTGCTGTGCTTGGCCTGGCACAGCTGCCCACAGCTGGGAACAAGCCCCCCTTCATGCCGGCTCTAAGCCCCCCACTTTGGGAGCCCCGCGCTCCACTGAGCCCATCTTGCTGAGCCACTGGGCCAGCGCCAGAGCTGCCTGTGGCAACCAAAGCCCCAAAGGAAGCGTGATGCCGTCACCATCCCCAGCCTGCCTTGCCCAGCCTGCGTGCCCTTACACACCCTTGTCTGTGGCTGTGGAGGAGCTCCTTGGCTCTGCCGGCCGCATACGGAGCAGCTGCGGCCTTTCATCCCAGCTTTGGGAAGTTCTTTCCCGTGCTCACAGATCATGAGGTGTGAGAGGTGTGAGAAGGGGTAGCTGCTGCCTTTTGCACGACAGGATGCCCACACAGCCCCCAGAGCTCCCCGCTGGCCCTGCCATCACGGAAATAAAATATTTTGTCCCAAAGTCACATCCCTGCAGGGCCCCTTACACACCCTCACCCCGGGACGATGCCGGGACCCCACCGAGGAGCACACAGGTGCCCCGGCTTCGGGGGGCTGCAGGAGCAGCGGCCGGGCTGAGGCTGAGTTTGGGGAATACCCGGGGTGGGAAGCACTGAGGAGATGGGCAGAGCTCCTGAAGTCGGTTGGCGACTTACAGGGCGACTCAGAGCACACAGTGCCCCTTTTCAGGGATTGTTTATCTGCCTGCACAAGGGACTGAGTCAGGATGTGCGGGCACTGGAGGGGCTGCAGCCGCCCCGGCACACACCCAGCAGAGCAAAGAGCGGCTCTGTCTGTGCAGGACACACGGCAGGGACCGGCACTGCAGGGACCGGCACGCTTTGAAGCAGCTCCAGGAGAGGGGCGGGGGCGAGGAAAGTCGCGATCCTGCACTGAACACCTTGAGCAAATGAGGAGTTATTCTGGGCTTCAGCAGTGCAAACACCCTCTTAATGCAACCCTGTCTTAGTAAGAAGAGTAAAAATAACACCAGCAGTGTGGCTGGCCTACCATGGGCGGCATTTTCCAGTGCCTGGTCAGACAGATGCCTCCGCAATACAAGGTGGTGAGTGAAGTGGGCGCTAAAGCTGGGAACGGGAGGTTTCCTCTTGGTGAGGCGCTGGGAGCAAGCCCAGAGCTCCCTGGATAGCCCCTGAGGGACAGCCCCGGGAGACAGCCCCAGGGGACAGCCAGGCTTTTGTCCCCTGCCACTTCTGCCCGAGGTGCCAGAGCAGGGACAGGTACTGTGGGTGGTTCCCACTCTGTGCTTGGCAGGAAACTGGACAGAAGATAATCCCAACAGCCTGCCCAGCACCAGGCACCTGGATTGCCCAGTCCCACACATCCCCACACACCCCTACACCCCTCATGGCAGCAAACTGCTCGTGCTTCCAAGCCGAGTGAGAAATGGCTGCTTCCATTTCCTCCACTGCCGGCGGTGCTCTTCTGGCTGTTTGTCACACATTAACTCAAGTGTGCACCTCCGCTGCAGAGTGCATCCAGAGTTCACACTGGGTGCAGGAGGAACAGCGGGCTTGTGCAGGCAGAGCCGAACCCAGCAGCACGAGCCAGACACACTGGCACTCAGCAATTCCAGTGGCAGAGGGTCCTGTGCCCACGAAGCAGCCTTGGCAGCAAGGGCAGCTCGGGGCAGGTGACACCACCATGGCCACCAGCCCTTCCTGGACGTCACAGCAGCCTGGCAGAGGACAGCAGTTCCTGTGGCCCTGACGCTCAGAGAGAGGGGCAGCCCATGGGACTCTCCCCCCACTGACCCCTCCCTGCATCCATGGGAACAACTTGACCCAGTGCTGCCCACGAGGACCAAGGGCTCTGGGAAGGAGGAGAGGGTGTAATTTTCAGTGTCTCTTCTCAAATCTGAGCAAGGAGAGCAAGACCCCAGCATGAGAGTGGCACACTGACAGGGCAGCAGTGTCAGGCGGTTGCTGTATGGACCTTTCTGCAGTGATGTGGCACTGCTGGGGTGAGGAGGGCCCTGCTGGCACAGGCTGTGCACTTGGCAAAGGTCCCACCATGACCTGCACACCCCCAGCCCATACAGATACATGGTGGAATAGTACATGAATTGTTTCCATTAAAACCAGCTGTCCCAAGCTTTCTCTCAGCAAGGATTTGCTGATTCTGCTCCAACATCCCTTCCCACCTCCCTTAGAGAACCTGATGGAGGATGGGGCTTCCCAGCCATGGCTGCATTGCAGGGCAGTGCTTCTGTAAAACCATCCATGTGCTCCCGGAGCAGGACACACCAGGAGCCCTCGCACATGGGGCTTCTCCTGGACTCTGCCCTTGGCATGCTTGGACCTTAGCAACTCTGTCAGTACCAAAAATCCCTTTGTACAGCTGGAGGGGATGTTCAGCTCACTGTAGACCCTCCCAGTGCAGTGTCCTGATGTGCCTGAGCAGCCCCTGACCAGAACCACCCCAAGTGTGGGGAGGGCAGAGTTCCCAAGCCCCAAGAGCCCATGGAGGTGTGGGATTTCAGCCGTCTGTCCCTGATAGGTGGTCTCTAGTGTGTTGGGTGACCCTTAGGACACACAGGGAGGGCTGGGACATGCCAGGCAGTCCCAGGTGGTACCACTGGCAAGACCCTGAGGCAGAGACACCCAGGCAGGAGAGGGATGGCCAGTGCGTGGGGCAGGGACTTCCAGGGAACGTGGTGGTCATTGCTGTGTGCACACTTGCACGTCCCAGAGCAACCAGCACTAATTCCAACACATCTGCTGCCCAGCAGCAAAGTTTTCAACACATTTCCCTTTCAGACTCCATCTCTCAGAGATGCAGCTACGGGAAGAGGATGTAATTCCCGACAAGTGCATCCCACCAGGATTGGCCAGAGGAGGGAGAGAACTTTATAAGGAGAAAACAGTCCCGAGTCCTGGCACTTCGTTGGAAGCCGTGCAGCCCCTCTCCGCCCCCTTGTTCTCCCTTCTCTTGATCGGCAGCGGAGCCATCTCCTACCCGAGGGCTGTGGGGTCGCGGGAGACTCTGGTGGGGGCCAACCCGGGGGGCTTCGGGGCTTGCTGCTTTTCTTTTCTTTTCTTTTCTTTTCTTTTCTTTTCTTTCTTTTCTTTTCTTTTCTTTTCTTTTCTTTTCTTTTCTTTTCTTTTCTTTTCTTTTCTTTTCTTTCTTTTCTTTTCTTTTCTTTTCTTTTCTTTTCTTTTCTTTCTTTTCTTTTCTTTTCTTTTTTCCTTTTTTTTTTTTTTTTTTTTTTTTTTGGGTGGTTCTTTCCATAGGTGGGACCTAAACCCGCCCTTTTCCTGGAAACTTTGTTTTCCCTTTCTTCCCTCCGGCGGCTCCGGCCGCGGGGAGCGGGGCGGGGGGTGCGCGGGGGGCGGGCGGGATAAATGGGACGGGCGGTGGGGGCGGACAGCGGGCGGTGAGGGGCAGCTCCCGCGGCGTCCGGACAGCGACAGGGACCGACATCGGCACTGACAACACCGGCAGAGGAGCGGGGCAGGCACCGGACGGGCACCGGCGGTACCGGCAGAGGAGCGGGGCAGGCACCGGACGGGCACCGGCGGCACTGGCAGCTCCCGAGCCGCAGCGCCCCGCACCGGCAGCATGGCCGAAGGTAGGAGGAGCGCGGTGCGAACCCGCAGGTGCCGGGCTCGGTCCCGTCCGCGGCGGGTCCGGTCCGCCGCAACCCGCCCCGGCCGCCGCTCGCCGCCTCCGCCGAAGTCGAGGGCGGTGGGGAACGGGAAAGACTGAAGCGATCATAAGCCTGGCAGGGTCCGTGCGGGATCCAGCCATTCCCGCCCTCCCGGCTCTCCTCCGGCCCGCAGGATGAAGTTTGCTGCTATTTAAAGCTTTCCCGGCAGAGCAGGGCGGACAGCCGGGCCGGGAGCGTGTGCCTGGCGGGGTGAGGGGATTTCAGGAGGCTCAGGCAGGAAAAGAGCTTCTGGGCGTGGGGAATCCTGCATGCTTGGCTCTTCAGGGTAGATAGAGCCCCCGGCTCCCACACAGCTGCCCCCAGAGTGCCAGGAAATGGGTCTGTGTGGGTCCCACGGGCACACAGCCCTCTGGGTGAGACGGCATCACTCTGCTCTGCTGGGCCACAGTGCCGCAGGCTGTCCTGGCTCCCAGCACTGCTGTTGCAATACCAACGCAGGTCCCTCGAGTCAGACACTCACACAGACAGATAGCTGGGCAGCTACAGAATCACAGAATTAACTAGGTTGGAAAAGAGCTTTGAGAGGCTCGAGTCCAACCTATGACCTAATACCACCTTATCAACAAGACCCTGGCACTAAATGCCACATCCAGTCTTTTTTTAAATACCTCCAGGGACAGAAGCTCCACCATCTCCCCGGGCAGCACATTTTAAAGCCCAATCACTCTTTCTGTGAAAAATTTTTTCCTAATGTCCAGCCTAAATTTCCCCTGGCGTAGCTTAACACTGTGTCCTCCTGAACACACTGGGCAGCTCCTGCTCCTGAGTGCCCAGGGTGCTGCTACCACTTGCAGCACCGCAGCCCCCTTCCCACCCATCTCTTGGCACTCATTGGTTTGGATAGATGCACCATCTATCAAATAGATGCACATCTACCAAAGCATATGTGCTTTGAGAAATCTGCTTTTTGCTCAATCTGCTGAGGATGAAAACGCCAGGGTGACTGGGACAAAGAGGAGCCCTGATGCTGTTCTCTGAACACACTTACTGTTTGGTTTTTTTATTGCCAGCAAGTTTAACCATGATATTCCACTTGTACAGTCCGTGTTCTGTACGGGGCTGTGCTGCTCACAGAGGGGGAGGCTGGGAGGGAAAGGGGGTGTGTGTGCTCTGTCCCCACTTCACAGTTCCCATGGACTGGCTGTGGGGACCCTGCCCTTAGTTACGGACTGTTCAAGCGGCTCTCACATTGTGGTGGGGACAGTGACAAGCCCACTGCCCTCCACTGGGCCCATCCTGCAGAGTCACCTTGCCCAGAGAGGCAGGAGCAGTGTTTTCTTTTAGCTCTGGGAATGGGGAGCTCGTGGGCTGCTGTTTCCATTTGGCACTGGTCTGAGGAGGGCTTGGTGGCTACCAGAGCTGGCACAAGGAAGGGCATGGCCGAAGAGAGCCATGGCAGGGGGCAGCAAGCCCCAGCTTGCCCCCTGATTGCCCGCTCATCTGCCCAGTCCCTCGCTGGCACTGAGCTTGCTGTGCTCCCTGCACAGAATGCTTTTGCTTTTTCTGGTGATTAATACGTCACTGCAGAGCAGTCAGGGGTCAGTGGCCTCAAGTGATGATGAACGATATCGCTCCAGCATAGTGCCCAAGGTGGCAGGGACGTGGCTGCTGGTGTTCTGACACACAGCCCTGCCTGGGCTGCGAGCAGAGCAGTCTGCATGAGTCTGGGGCATCAGACACCCTCTGTCACCAAATCTACACTTGCTCTCCCCAGTTTGTCAGCAGGTGCAGCACAGTAAAGCTGCTGGAGGCCTGGCTGAGGCACAGGAACATCCTGGGCATTCCTGGGCTCACTCAGCAGCATGTGCTTGGGATGGGGGCACACAGACAGCAGCCCCAGTGAAAGGGCCCCTGAAAGCAGAGCTGAGCCCTGGGCTTTGCCCCAGTGTTGGGTGCTGTGAGACACAGGCCTGGCACAGCTCTGGCAGCACAGTGGTACCGCAGAGGTGCTCCATGGCACAGCACAGCATAGAGCTGGATCAGGAGGGCAAAACGTGAGCTTGGCTGCCAGAGCTGTGCCCCTCTTTCAGCACACAACGGGAGCCCAGCCCTCAGAGCACTCCTGGAAGGATGCTCAGAGTCTGGCACGGTCACAGCGCCCTCCTGGAGAGATGCCCCGGCACATCTGGGAGCACAGGCTGGGTGGGTGGGAGGTTCAGACCCCTGGCCAAGGTCCCAGCCCAGGGCTCAGGGTGGGGACTGCGTGACACGTCCCAGGCTCGGAGCTGTACCTGCCTCTGCCTTTGCAGATCTGGTGCTGGAGACGTGGGACCTGCACTGCGACCGCAACGGGCGGGAGCACCGCACGGCGGCCATGGGCTGCGGGCAGCTGGTGGTGCGGCGGGGACAGCCCTTCGCCATCACCCTGCGCTTCTCGGGCCGTGCCTACGACGAGGCCGTGGACAAACTCTCCTTCAACGTGGAGACCGGTGAGTGCCGCCACATCTGTGTCGCGAATGAGCGCTGTCACCACCCCCTGCCCCAAAGCTCGCCTGTGCTCCCACGGGGGCTGTGTCACGGCACCTGCCCCATGTCACACAGTCCCTGTTCCTCACCTGGCAGAGGCTGGTGCTGTGCACAGCTTTTATATCACAAGAAAAAAAGGTAGAAACTCATCTCCTTAATGAGACTGGAAGAGAAGTGATAAAGAAATACAACAAAAAGCCACTGGCGTCATCACCTCCTCCTCCTCCTCCTCCTCCTCCTCCTCCTCCTCCTCCTCCTCCTCCTCCTCCTCCTAGGGCCAAGCAAGACTAAGGGAGCATGACAGAGCTGCCTGCTCACCTTGGCTGAGGCCAGGATCCTGCTCAACCCTCCTGCCCCTCTGAGAAACATCAGCACAGTGTTGTTTCAGCCAGAGCTATCACAGCATTTCTGCTGATGGGCTTTACACCCAGCCCTGCTGCCTCTCAGGCACCCAGGACGGGGTTTGTTCAGGAAACACAAACACTGGAGAAAGGAAATGTTCCCACGGAGCCCCCCAGTGCAGCCCCCGGGCCGGGGCTGGGCTGGGCTGTTGCTCTCACAGCCAGGGCTGGGTGCAGCCACCGGGCAGGGGCTCAGCCCTGCCAGCTCAGAGCAAAGGGAGAGGAAACTATTTCTCAGGCAGGAGTTATTTTGGGGCTGAAGCACCATGCTGAGTCAACCCAGCCAGAATTCAAAGTAAAACTGAGCCCAAGTTTCCTCACATAGTAAAACTCTCCTTTTTCCATCCCAAAAGCTCCGGTGACAAAACAAAACCCAGCACCTCCCAGCTTCACCCCTCACCAGAAGCTCCCTCGGTGCCCTAGCAGCCCCATGGGTTTCTCCAGACCATGCTACAGCCAGGCAGCCCCGGGCTGGTTTTGCAGGGGAGTAGCCACAGGCACAGCACAGGCACAGCCTCCCAGGCCAAGGCACAGGCTGGCAGAGGCTCCTCTGGGCTGGAGCCCAGCCCCAGCGCTGCAGAAAGAGGGGAAAGGTGCTTTGGTGCTCGCTGAGGCAGCAGCCCCAGCACGTTCCTCACTGGGGCCAGACCTGTCAAGGCAAGGGCCGCCAGAGCTGTCCCTCCATCCTGGGACAGCAAAGCTACCGAGCTCATGCGCTGCCTCCCACAAGAAAGGGGGAAGGAAGAGTAGAGTGAAAACAGAGATGTATTTTTGCACTAACCATGTTGGCAGAGCCCCGTTCAGGAGTCCAGGGGGATGTTGTGGCAGCAAGAGGAGGAGGAGGAGGAGGAAGAGGAGGAGGCAGGCTCTGGGAGTCTGCCAGCTCACGGCAGCGCCGGGCTGGCTCTTGCCCAAAGGACACCGTGAACCCAGCCCAGCCTCCCCGAGAGGAGAAACTGTGTCACTACCATGAGTTCACGAGTATTTTTGGTGACTGGCCTGTGGGCGAGGGCTGGCAGGGGACCAGTCGAGGCTGTGCTCCGGCAGGGAGAGGGGACAGCAGTGACACCGCTGCCTGGGCTGTCTGCCAGGCTCTGCATGGCCAGGGAGCCGCAGGGCGTCACCGCTCCGGGAGCGGCTCTGGAGCTGGCTCCGTGCAGGTGGCTTGGCCATGGCTGCAGCTCGGAGGGGCCAGCGAGGATCACACTGTCCCAGGCTCGGCGCTTTGGCCACTGAGGTCATCCCTCAGCCCGGGATGTTTGCAGCAACGCCTGAGGCTGCAGACACGTACTGGGGCACCCAGTGCCAGGGGTCTGTGGCTCATGGCCGGGCCCTGCCAGCCCCCATGCCGTGGCTGCAGGGACCCAACAGTGCTGCTCGGAGGAGAGGGAGCTGGTGCATCTGAGAACAGAGACCTGGCAAGCACCCCTGTGCTCTGCTGGCCCCCCCAGGACGAGTATGTCCCTTCCCTGCGCCCTCAGTACCTGACAAACTACACAGAGAATGTTCCCAGACTGTGACAGCCCAGATCCAGGCAGCTGCTGCAGGGCAGGGGGGTTTGGAGCAGCTGCCTTTGGTGCACCCTCCATGGCAGGGGGCTCCCAGGGGTTCTGGAGCACTGGAGAACTGACCTACTCCTTCTTGACAGGACCCTTCCCCAGTGAGACATCAGGAACCAGCTCCCACTTTGTCATGACTGACTGCCCAGAGGAGTCGTGCTGGAGTGCTGTGATCCAGCAGCAGGAGGGGGAGTCCCTTTCTGTGTCACTCTGCTCCCCAGCCAACGCTTGCATCGGCCGCTACAGGCTGACCCTGGAGACCTGCACCGACTACCAGGGCTCCAGCTACCAAATCGGGGACTTCATCCTGCTCTTCAACCCCTGGCACCCAGGTGAGGCTTTCACCTCTCTGACTCCAGGGATTCCAAGGCTCAGGCAAACACAGGATGCTCCCCAGGCATCTCCCCCACAGGTCTCATCCCAGTGCAGATCCCAGGCATCCCAAACCCTGGTCTGAATGCAGGTTTAAGCAGAAAGCTTCACTCTGCTTCCATCTCCACACAATCCCTGCAGGAGGTTGGGGTCAGGAGCACCGTCCCCACCCTACAACACACACAGCCCCTTTGCCACCACCCCAAACACCCAACGGCCTGTCCAGGCTGCCCCCACCACACAGTGGGAGATCACCACTGTGCTGCTGGTGTGAAGCCCTGGGCAGTCCCTGGCACCAGCTCCTGGCCAGGCAGGGGACAGGGGAAAAGCCTCTAAATGTCCCTAATTGCCCCCAGTTTTCCTCACTTGCCCCCAGTTGTCCCTAATTGCCTCCACCAGGCCCATTCTCACCCATCCTCACCCAGTCACCCAGCTGTGGACTCAGTGACATGGATATCACTGTCCTGGTGAGATTTGGGCAGCCAGACCCAGAGGAGAGATTCGATTCAGTGCTGTAAGGTTCAACAGCCCTGGGATTTTCCTCTCTCCATGTCCTTCCCTTGGACTGGCTGATTTCCTGGATCTCCAACGTCCCACGCTGGATCTGCAGAGATAAGGGGCCATAGGAAGCTCTGCTCAGCCAGGGCTGTGCTGAGCACTGGGGGTGGATGTGTGGGGTTTCCTTCTGCAAACATTTCCAGTAAGTGTTGATTTCCACAGCAGTAGCTGCTGTGAGTGAAATGGCTTTGCCTGTGCTGAGCCAGCACACCCACTCCCACTCCTCACTGCACCCCCAGGGAGGTCTCCCCTGCTGAGAAGAGATCCATCTCCATTAAATAAAAGGGAGGAAAGACAGAGACATGAGAAAGAATGAAAAGCAAACCACAAATCCGCTGAAATTTTCCCATCACTTTAAATCAACCTTGGTTGAAATTCCCCAGCAGCTGTTTAAGGCATGAGCAGTTCCAGCCCCTGGTGCCTCATTTCCCACTGGATCCATCCACAGGGAGGGGTCAGGAAGCTGGTTGTGGAGGGCAGAGCCCTGTCCCCATCACTTGCTGTCCCCACAGAGGACACAGTTTTCATGCGTGACGAGAACGAGCGACGTGAGTACGTCCTGTCCCAGGATGGGCTTATCTACCAGGGCACCTGTGATTACATCTACTCCATCCCCTGGAACTTCGGCCAGGTGAGCGGGCAAGGCCCCCTGGGACCCTTGGGACCCCTGGCTGGCCCAGGCCATGCAGCTCCCAGATGCAGGGACTGGTGCCATGCATGTGTCCCTCACAAACGTACACCTCAAATGCTGTCAGCACCTTGGAGTCCAGCCAAGGGTCAAAGAAACCGGAATCTCATTTCCAAGAGGGAATGCGCTGACTTCAAAGCATGGCAAGGCAAGGGGAGTGTTTCCCCAGGGCTCCTGGGGGCACCATGTGTCCCTAATCTGGGTGGCCCTGCTGTGCTGGGAGCTGGTGCCTGATAATTCCTGTGCCAGGGGTGCTGATAAGGCAGTGCTCACACCCTGACCTGCACAGAGCACAGGGCTTGTTCAGCCACCCTCCCTGAGCAAAGGGCTGGGGCCCCACAGCAGTGGGGGTGCCCATGGCCTCCACAGGATCCGTGCCTCAATTCAAGGAAGGGCCGTGACTCAGCCTCGATGAGAAATAGATTTTCCTGGAGGTCAAGTCCAAGCCCTGACCCCTGTGAGGTTGCAGGAAACCAGATCCAGCCCCAGTACGTAGGCAGGAGGTCACCCCCAGGCTTCACAGGCTGGCTGGGGACAGTGGGAACACCACTCAGCGGATGCTGGCCGGGGAGGGACCCTGAGGAGGTGTGACCCCTGTGCCCAGCAGTTCTGCTGGCAGGGGCATCACAGTGAGCCCGAGGGGGAGGACAGAGGTGGCAGAGCCCCTTTGGGGACCTCACAGAACCTTTTTCCCCTGCTCTCCACCAGTTTGAGGATGAGGTCTTAGCCATCTGCCTCAACATGCTGGACATAAACCCCAAGCACCTGCGGGATCAGAACCAGGACTGCTCGCGCCGCAATGACCCCGTGTACATCGGCAGGGTGGTGAGCGCCATGGTGAGTCCGGGCTGCAGCCAGCAGTGTCCCCAGCACCCCACATTCCCTGGGCTGCAAACACCCCCAGTACAGCTGTGGTAAACAGCATTTATCATTCCCTGGGCTGCAAACACCCCCAGTACAGCTGTGGTAAACAGCATTTGCCATCCCCCCCCCCAGTTACACCATTTTCCTTCTCTGCGGTGTTTCCTCTCTCTTTTACATCCTTTCTCTGTTACTGTTCCTATATGTATAAGAGGTTTTTTAGAGGAAACAAAAAGCAGACATGGGCACAGATCATTCCAGGGATAATCACTCCCAAATTCCCAGGCAGGAGGATATGTTTCTAAAATTCATCCCTATTAGCACTGTGTCCACCTGCATCCCATTGAGCTTTTGCATGGATACAGGATATTAAAGTGGGTGACAGTGCGTGTGAATGGGGCAAAGGCTCTTTCCCTCCCTCCCTCCCTCCCCAGCTTGTTCCTGCCCCTCCATCCTTCCCCTTTGCCCCTGCCACAGGTGAACTGCAATGACGAGGACCGAGGAGTGCTGTTTGGGCGGTGGGACAACTGCTACGACGATGGGATGAGCCCCATGGCTTGGATTGGGAGTGTGGATATTCTCAAGAGGTGGAAGAAGTTTGGATGCCAGCCAGTCAAGTACGGCCAGTGCTGGGTCTTTGCTGCTGTGGCGTGCACTGGTGAGAGCAGATTCCTCTGGTCTCCCCTTCTCCACAGGACAGGGTTGTCCCATCTGCCCCCATCTCCCACCCCAGACCCTGCCCACATCCACCCCTGGTGCTGCATGCAGAGGGGAGAGCTGCAATCAGCCTGCAATGATTCCTTTGCAATTAGCTCTCCATTACTCTAGTTTGTCAGGAAAAGAGGGAAAAAAATGGATAGAGGGAAAATAGAGGGAAAAAATGATACAAAAGGGCTCTGTTTTTTCAATCAGCGCTGCCTCCCAGGCCAGGCAGCAAGGGAGGAACTGAGGCAGGCCAGGGTGAGGGAAGTGGCTTTAAGGCCAAGTTTGCAATAAAGTCACTAATCCACTGAGATCAAAATAATGTCGTGGCCTCCGGGGCAATCAGACTGGGGAAAAAGAAGACAACAATTCCAGAATTGCTGCTGCTGGGAAACACTCACATATGCTCGTGCAGCTTTGCCCCAAGAAAAACGCTGCCTGTGAGAGCGTTGATGTGTCACACACAGACGAGACTCTTTTTAGAGGAGAGAAATAGCAGAAAACTAAAGTGGATTTTCAGCGACTCACAGAGGTTTATAGCCTTCCTTTGAAGCACTGTAACTGCCTCCCTGCTCCCTGGGGAGCTCCCTGTGCAGGGAAAGACAGCTGGGAGATGAAATCCGGGGTTCAGCACGGCTTCCCACACTCTACCTCCAAAGCTCTCACAGACACTTTTTGTGCCTTTTTTTGCTGCAATATCAAACCTGTCGGGCTGTCAGAGCCAGGTGCCACCCAGCCAGCTTGCCTGTGTGCTGTGGCTGTGGGAACTGCTTCTCCTGGGGCTCAGTCCCCAGGCAGCCCTTTCACAGGCAAAGGGAAGGGCAGGCAGGAGTTGTTCAAGCCTGGGGCTCCATGGGACACGAGCTGTGCAAACCTGGGGCTCTGTGGGGTGGGGGTGGTGCAAACCTGGGCCCTGTCTCACCCTGTCCTGCTCCCTGCAGTCATGAGGTGCCTGGGAATCCCCAGCCGGGTGGTGACCAACTACAACTCAGCCCACGACACAAATGCCAACCTGACCATTGACCGCTACGTCAACGAGAATGGGGAGCAGGAGAGGCAGTCCTGGGACAAGATCTGGTGAGCAGCACAGCAGGACCTCAGCCTGCCCACCCCTGGGCTGCTTCTGCCCCTTCCCCAGAGCCTGGCAGGTGCTGGGGGAGGCTGAGGCTCCTACATGCTGGTTTCCCTCACAGGAACTTCCACTGCTGGCTGGAGTCGTGGATGGCCCGTCCGGACCTGGCAGCTGGCTACGATGGGTGGCAGGTGCTGGACCCGACGCCTCAGGAGAAGAGTGAAGGTACAGCGTGCTCCACACGGCAGCTCCATCCCCCTCACACCCTGACATGGCTGGACCGCCCCACCACAGCCAGCCCTTGTGGCTGAGCCCTGGAGGGGTGACAGTGGCTCTACTCCGTGCAGGAATTTACTGCTGTGGGCCTGCCCCCGTCAAAGCCATCAAAGAGGGTGACATGCTGCTCAAGTACGACATCCCCTTCATCTTCGCGGAGGTGAACGCTGACGTGGTGTACTGGGTGGTGCAGGGCGACGGGATGCAGAAGCAGAGCATCCGATCCTCAGACGTGGGGAAGAACATCAGCACCAAGAGCATTGGCAGGGACAGCCGGGAGGACATCACCCACAACTACAAGTACCCAGAGGGTATGGGGGATTTCAGGGGCAGAGACATCCAGGGAGGGATGTTGCTGCTGGGAAACAGCTGCAGCAGGAGGGCTGCAGGGCTCAGGGCAGAACAGCCCAGGCCAGGCCCTCCCGTACTCCAGGGACTCACAGGAATTTTGTGCACTGCAGGGTCTGAGGAGGAGCGGGCAGTGTTTGAGAAGGCAGAGCATCAGAAGAAGTCCATCGGGGAGGAGGATGAGGGGCTGCACCTCAGGATCAAGGTCTCAGAGGGCGCAAACAAGGGCAGCGACTTCGACGTCTTTGCTGTCGTCACCAACAACACAGACGAGGAGCGCGTCTGCAGGGTGACGCTGTGCGCCCGCGCCGCCAGCCACAACGGCACCCTCGGGCCCCAGTGCGGCCTCACGGACCAGGTGGACATGGACATTGAGCCCAGGGCAGGTGAGAGACCCACTGGTGGGGAAGGAGATGCTTCACCGGGGCTGGGGTCAGGTCAGCCTGAGTTCAGCTGCTCAGTAGGCAATGCCACTCTGGGGCATCCTCCTCAGTCAACTACCAGTGTGGATTTTTAATCTTTGTGAGAGGGTGAGGAAATTGCTCAGGCGGAGGCTGGAAATGCATTTGGAGCTGGACAAACCGCTGCTGCTGTAGCTGTTATGGCAAGGAAGCAGGCTGGGCACACCCAGGCTGTCATCCCTAGGCACTCTGTGGCACTTGTCTGCGTCCCTCCTGCTTTCCCTCAGACTTTGGGCTAGGCTGGGCTCTCTGGTGGGATCTTCCCACACCAGGGAGAGGGGAACTGGCCCAGCTCAGCCCTGAGTGCGTGGTCCCAGGCTGGAGGAAGTGAGAAGCGCTGGGTTTCCTGGCCAGCAGCGCTGCAGCCTCTGTGTCTCTGTGGGTGGGCGTTCGGCTGTAGCGCTGTCCTGGCACGGCCCCGAACCTCCCTCGCCCTCATCACACGTGAACATCACCATCTGGTCATTAAACACGAGTTTGGGCTTACGTGAGTTTGCAGAGACCCTTCAGGGCTTGGAAAGGCCACACATCTGCTGTCCTGGAACAGCCAAATGTTTACCCTGAGCCGAGCCCTGTTCCTCACCAGCCCTCCTGCAAACGCAGCGCTCGGCGCTCTGCCAGCTGTTGAGCTGCTTTGCAGGAATGAGGAATGTGCTGGCTCTTGCCACCATGGAGGGGAGAGGGATGTGCCTCTGCTCATGCTGGCAGAAGCACCAGCTGGTACTTGAAGCCTTTTGCAGGGCTGGATGAGAGAGTGGGGATATGTGCTGTGGCCTTTAGGGTACTTAACATTCCTGTGCAAAAGTTAACCCAACACCATTTTTTCTGAAACATTAATTATGAGCTCCTGGAACTTCTACCCTCAGCTCCTGCCTCAGAATATAGATCCCAGGACTTCCCAGACTGCATTCTTTAGGGCACCCCAGTACTTTGGGAAGCCAGGCTTGTTCCTCTCCCCACAGTCTCAGCTGATGCTATGGCACTTTAAACCTTGCCTCATGAATGTCAGGCTCCATTTCTCATGGTCACAGCCACTCTGGGCTCCTTGTTCCAGGCAGTTCTGCAGCTGGTTGCTTTCAGCCTCCTTCCCTGTCCTTCCCCCAGCAGCCCGATCGCTGAAGGACTTTCAGATGAACAAGGCTGAGGGCTGAGTGCGGGCAGCTGCCAGGGACCAGGCTGCCTCTGGACCCCTGGTGCAGGCATCACCCTGGAGTCTCGCCCTAGGACATGGCTCCTTCTCATCCCCACACCCTGAACATCCCTCCTGGCACTCAGTATTGGAGCCCCAGCCCTGCAGGAACCACAGCTCACCCCCATCCTTGCAAGGCACCTGGAGAAGCTCCTGGGGAGCCCAGACCGTGCCAGCAGCAGCTGGGTGCCAGTGCAGACTGTGGGTTCTGGGCTGGAGATGCCATGGGTGCTGACCCCTCTCTGCTGCTCTTCCAGAGAAGAGGGTGCCCCTGCGCATCCTGTACGAAGAGTACAGGGACAAACTGACCCAGGACAACCTCATCAAGGTGGTCGCTCTCCTGAAGGATCACCAGACTGGCGACATCATCGTAGCTGTCAGGGACATTTATGTTGAGAATCCACCGATCAAGATCAGGGTAAGGGTCTAATGTCTCATCACAGGCAGGTTTGAGGGGAATGAGTTGCTGTAATCATCTTGGGGTTACCCCTGGGGCTTGGGCTACAGGTCCTGCTTCACTGAGAAGGGCTGCATCCCCTGGGATGCATCCCTTGGGTCCTGCCTCAGCCAGGGGGCAGGGGTAGCACCATGGCTCCCAGGAGTTGTGGTGCTTGGGGTTCAACCTCTCCTACTTGCAGATTTTAGGAGAGCCAATGCAGAATCGGAAGCTGGTGGCAGAGATCAGCCTGGTGAACCCTCTCACAGTGCCCCTGAACGGCTGCGTGTTCGTGGTGGAGGGCACCGGCCTCACCGAGGGGCAGCTGGTCAAGGAGCTGTAAGAGCTTTTCCCTCTTCACCGTGCTGGGATGTTGGGAGTGGTGTGGGGGTGGATTTCTGTGTGTGGAGCCCCCAGGGAGGGCAGTGATGGGGCACAGCAGGAGCCAGGGCTCTGCTGGTCCCTGTGGACTCAGAGTATCCCTACCCTGCACCTTGCTGGGGAAGGGGTTTGGCCACCCTACAGAGTCTTTGCTTGCCAAAGTCCCAGCACTGTCCTGCAGCACCACGGGCCCTGGGAGGGTGACAAGGGGCTCTGAGGATGACAGGCCACAATGACTCCCTGCCCTCCCACAGAGAGGAGCCGGTGGAGCCGCAGGCGGAGGCCAAATTCCGGATGGATCTGATGCCGCGGCTGACGGGGCTACAGAAGCTGATGGTGGACTTTGAGAGTGACCATCTGACGGGGGTCAAGGGCTACCGCAACGTCATCATCGCACCCCAGCCCATGTGAGCAGCTGCCAGGACCCCTCAGCTGCAGAACCCTGCCTCGCTGGCCCCACCCGCTTTAGCCCACGATGGTCCCAGAGGGGCGACTGCCAGAGCCCGGCCTGACCCCCACACGGCGGCAGCGATGTCAGCCACGCTCCTCCCCGGGGCACAGGCGGGATAAAGGGGCTGGAGAGGTCTGGGGGCTGCTGTGGCAGTCACTCCCTTCACTGCTGTTCTCCCAGTCTGTGGAGTGGAAACATCCATGTGCTGTCTGTCCCCCAGCACTGGGCACACCGGGACTGCCGTGCCAGCCCCTCTTTGCAGTGCTGGCAGCCCCAGCCCACAGAGCCATTTCCATAGAGGCAGCAGCACAACAACCCCTCCAGCCCCTGCCATCATCATCCTCTGACTGCAGCTCCATAGAGAGAGATTTTATACTGTGAGCACAAAGCTGTTTATGCACCATATACCTATAAAACAAATCTATAAATACTTACTGCAAATAACCTGCTTGGGTAGAGCCAGGCATTGCCTCAATAACCATCCTAGCACTGCAGGCACTGCAGGGAGGGATGGGACATACCTTGATATGAATCAATTACACAAACGCTGAATAAAAACTCTATTTTTAACTTTAAAAGCCAGACCTGGCTCTTCTTGCCCTTCCCCTCCCCACAGCAGGACCTGGCAACTCCTTGCCCAGCATCCATGTGGGTGGGGGATGAGTTCCCCCAGCCCAACACTGAGGTGGGGGGTCATTGCCATGACTGGCACTGCAGCCACAACAGCCTCAAATTGGCCACCCCCTCTGCCCCAAATCAGCCTGGCCTGGTGTTCTCAGGGTGCTCTACACTCAGCCCCCAAGACACCTTCCCAGGTAATTTCTCCCCTCTCAGGAATGGTTCCATGCTGTGCTCAGAGAACTGGAGAGAGAACACTACAAGTGATCAAACTAACAGGTCTTGCCCACGGTGCCAGGCTCTGGGCAGGGCTGTCCACCCAGGCTGGGGAGGCGAAGGGCAACTGGATCCTGCACAGGGGGGTGAGAGGAGAGTGGGGATTTGTCTCACACCTGGATCTGGGGTCAAGGCTCTGCTGAAAATAAACACTTTCCACGCCAGAATGGCCCACCCATGTGGTCCCCACAAACAGGGTGGGAGCCTCCCTGCCCCTATAAACAAATACCATGGATACCATTACAGAGCTGATGGTGTCTGACTGAGGGTCCCAGTCACCACAGCCCCGCAGAAGGGACAGTCTGTGGGACAGGAGAATCTCCCCCACACTGGCTGTCAGTCACCCTGACACTGTGGGGTCTCCCATCCCAGCTGTGACTCAGGCTGGATGGGCAGCTGGGAGCGTTTCCCATCAAGGACTGCCCGTTCTCCAGCTTTCCTTTCTGTTTATCTTTAGGATGAGATAAAATCCCCATGTGCAGTGCTGCACACACAGCTGCTGCTTCCCCACGCCAGGCTGGGGTTCATGGCCAGAACTCCCCAAAGCCTGGCTCTGCTTCCCCACGGGAGGCCCAGGACCCATCTCAGCTCCAGCCCCGGCTCCTGCTCCCAGCATGGAACTCGAGTGGGCACAGCACAGCCCAGGCCCCACGTGCAGCAGCTGATAAAGCCTTTCAAGAAACACCCCCAGGAGAACCACACAATCCATCTCCCCTTACCCTTTGGAACTTTAACCACCACGCTTCCCTGTCCTGCTTTGCTCCAACACAACCCAAAAAGGCAGCTGGAAGCTGGGACCCCTGTGGGGTAGAGTGGGGCAGAGGTGGGGCCTGGCACAGGGAGGGATAAGGAGCTGCAAAGCAGCTCTCCCAAGGGACAGGGAGTGCCCAACCTGTGACATAGGCCAGGGCAAGAGCTCCAGGAGGGAGAGGGATGGGGGTTCTCACCTGCATTCAGGGCAGGGGCCACGCCAGCCCCCAACTCTGGCAGCACCAACCCCCCAGACACTGGTGCCCAGAGCACATGGAGCCCCAAAGAATCCTGAAGGAGTTAACGGCACGAAGCAGCGCTGCCTTCCCTGTCAGGAACATTCCTCAGCCCAGCAATGATGCACAGCCCCTCTTTAGAGCATTTGTTACTGGGCTCTGCTGAGCCAGGCCTCCAGCTGCTCAGCGCCTGGGTTAAAAATAACCAGCAGCTCCACTGCTTCGGAGCTGGGTCCTGATAAAATAAACATTAGAACAGCTATTCCTGAAGGTCACTCCCATCCATCTGAGCTCGGCAGAGCAAGGCTGCTCCGATGAGAAGGGAACAGACTCCAAATGCTGCAGTTATGGTTTAGCAGCAGGGGTTGGCTCTCAGGGCTGGGTTTTCCTCCATTATCCACAGCGCTGAGGTTGACTTCCCTGCGCCCAGTCCTGGCCACTGACGTGGTACCACACGGCATCTGTCTCCCTGTGCCCAGTCTTGGATCACTGACATGATACCCACACTGCATCCGTCTCCCTGTGCCCATCCTGGATCACTGGCACAGTTCTGGGCTGCATCCATCACACTCTTTGGCACTCTCACCGTGCAAGAAATAAATTATAAATCAAGTATTTCCAGTATCCATCACATGGGAGGGTTTGTAATTCCATGCTAGTCCAAGTGCCAAAGCCAGGCAGGAGCATTCTTGGGGAGGAGAGGTTCTGGATATATCTCAGCTTGCTGGAGATGCTGACTTGCCAAGAATTGATTGTAAACTCATTTTAGACTTGATGACCTTTAACTTACCTTCATTGATGGATCAAAACTAGAACAAACTCCCATAAATCAGAGCTTTCACAAGAACAAATCTGTGGGATTTCCAAATGGTACTCCCTCTCCAAAGGTCTCCCTCCTCCTCCACAAACATAGAACACATTTTTACTCTCCTTGGTGCAATGAGACAACTGAGGCACCATCAAACAGCAAGAGACAATAAACCCCAATGCAGGAGGTCCCTCACGGGAAGCCATCCCCTCTTCCACAGCCATGAAAGGTGCAGGAGACACTATTGCAGAAATGCCTTTTCCAGCACGGCCATCCTACGGACAACTCCAACAGCCTCTCTGTGCCTGCCTGATCCCTGATGCAGCTTCCCAGGGGAGCAGCCCTGGCCATGCCCCTCATGGTCCCTGTCCTGCCCCTCATGGTGGGCTGTGCTGACACACAAACCAGTAAGGACTGGTCAGCTGGGCATGGGCAGCAGAGGCATGTGCTGCCAGCTCCTCGTCCCCTCCCAGAACAAAACAAGCCTTGTCTTTTCCCAGAAAGACAAAACAAGATTTGCCTCTTCCCAGAAAGGAGTGGCAAGACCCTAAATCTGTGAATGATTTACTACTATTAGTTGTCACACAGATTTGCTCCTTCAGCAGCAGTGCAATGCTTGGCCACCATGCCCCAGCCAAGCTGCAAAGCATCACAACCTTGTGCCAAGGGAAAACACTGGGACGTGGATTTGCAAGCCCTGTCCAGAATCCAGCCTTGATGGGCTGTAGAACATCCGTCCCTCAGGCTGCTCTGCACCCAGGGGACACCAAAGTGTTTGTTTTCCTTAAACATCCCCCTCCAATGCTGGCTGGTCCTGGGGTTTCCTGGGTTTTGCCTCAAAACTCATACTTAACCAGCATGGCCATGATTCCATCTGCTCCAGCACACATGAACGCCTGTGAGGCCCTTGGCCTTTATTTAACTTCTTCCTAAATGTCATCACACGAAGCCATTACTGAAAATAAAAATAAAGAACATTTTTTCTACCTGTTGCCTTCCAACAGGTGAGAAAGAGGCAAAGGATGGCTGTGGCACATCCCTAAAGCCAGTGACATCACTGAAAAATGTGTGATTCGGCCTCACTCCAACAGACTGGCGCCAAGTCTGCTGTGAAATTTCATCCAAGTGTTTTACCAGGTCAATTTTTTTTCAGAGCATTAGGGACAGCTTGTATTTTTTCTAATTAATCCTAGAGATAAATATACATAAAGTTTGGAACCGACCAGGGAATGTATCAAAACTTGGCCTAAAAAACCAAAGCTCATAGCAGCCTGCCCTGGGTCAAAACTCTGGCAGCACAACTACCCACCCATCACCCACAGGATGCCTCCACCACTCCAAGGCTCTGGCAGCCCTTCCTCATCTCCATCACAACCTGGGATCTCACAGTTAACCTGTTTGTTAGCCAGGAGTCAGTTCCTCACCTTGTACAGGTGCCTAAGCTGCCACTCCTTGGTTACACAGTAGGGAATGCACACCAGCTCACTGAGGTACTGAACTGCAAAGGCAGCTGCCTAACAGTCAAGTATTTTTGGAGAAGTTTGTTCCAGCTCTTAAAAAAAACAACAAAAACCTGATTTACAAAGGCAAGGAAGGACAGCCAGTACCTTGTCACATTTATGTCTTTGAAAACCCCACCTTAGTTCCTGCAACACCACACAAAGGTGGTTTTCACTAGGAGGACCCACACCAGCTCCCTCCTGCTCCCACAACACCGCCCAGCCTCTGTGAGGCTTTGTGAAAGCACTGCTAAATACAGCCCCTGTAAGGGAAGATTTGTAAATCAGTATAAAACATAATCTGCTTTGCAGATCCTCTCCAGGGCATACGAAACAATCACTGTTTGCCCACAGAGGCTGCTGCAGACTGGTTAATTGAAGAACTCCTAAGCCTCCCCAAAACCTCCAGAATTAACTCCCAGGGTAAGGTGAAGACCCCCAGAGCCGAGAGGTTTTGATCCCACTGACCCTCTGGAACAGTAGCTCCTGGTGCTCATGCAGGGAAGCATCTTCCTCCCATTCCAGGTTTGGCTTTTATTTGTATTTTTCCCAGAGTAACAACTGACATGCCCTACAGAAATTCCCCATTTCCACTCTGCAGGGAAAACTGACACAAGGATCTCCCCAAGTCACTGCCTGGGCTTCACAAAGGTAAAAAACCCAAACAAAACCCACAGGGTGCCAGAGCACTGCAGAAAGAAGCAAGGACACTACTGTTCAATGACACCCTCTTTATTCAAAAATAGATATCTATGAGACATTTCAGAATATACTGCTGTCAAATGGCAGCCTATATGTCTAAATTAATTCCTAAGTCAATTAATATACAGATTTAAGCTTTTGTTAAAAAAGACACACCGTGGGTAAATCTGTTTAACCTTCAGAAAATGTCACCCAGTTCACCAGATGCCCTTTGCCCAAAAAGTAAAACAAATAAAATTAAAAACTACAAGACTTCATTTAAATTAAGCAAAAATAAAACACACTCATATATTCGAAAAAAAAATCAAAACATTTCAATTAAAAAATAAAAAAACAGACAGACAACTTTCTCACAGATCTGCCCAAAACACAAACGTGAGATGCCAACACATTTGTCTACATCAGTTTTTGACAGTTTTTGTCCTATAATGGATACACATTCAATCAATGTTCAAAATAACTTGGTTTAACAGCCTCGGGGTAACTGTGAGCTGAATCAGGATGGAAAAAGAGTCTTTTGGTTTGGGTTCTTGAAGTTTGGTGTTGGTTTTTTTTTTTTTTTTTGTTTGCTTGTTTTTCATTTTTGGCAAAAGCAGAGAGAATGTACAGTGCTTAAGCTAAAGTATGGACCATAAAAGGCTGCACAGTCAAAGTGACTCAGGGAACACATAGTTCTGCCACTGGAAAAA